AGGCTGCCCTCGAGTACTTCCCTCGGAACTGAGACTCTTGGTCGCTGATGTCGGGTTGCCCTCCTGAGTAATCGACTCAGACACAGCTTTGGCGCAGGGCCCGCTTGACCCGAGGCTTTACGAGCCGGGGCTTCCCGGCCATCTCCTTCTCTGAGTTTCTTCTTGCGAATAGGAGCTGGCTCACCACCAGGTTCTTGAATAAGACCCAGCGTTAGAACCGTCCCCTCTTTAATGGAGCCTGCGCCCTTTACCGAACCCCTTTCGAAGACCCGGCTCTGACGAGGATCCCAGAAAGGATTCGTTGAATAATAGTGCATGCAATTTCCACAAGTAGTGCGGAAATGCGGTTTCACTTGGGCAGAGAACTTTGCCCCTTCCCGAAGAAAAGGGGTCCACTCGGAGGTCGCTTCGTATCCGTTCCACCAGTGGCACTAAGTCTTCGGCGTGGTCGGTAACACCTTGACTTGGGAGGTTGTTACGCGACGACGACCTTCGTCGTTTTAGCCCCGACGGACCACTTGTATTCGCCCCTACCCACATCTAAGCACTCAGGTGTCTGTATGGGAGCCCCCCAGACACGCACGATTAGTGACTCCACCCCACGGGTTTGCGGCGGTTAAGGTCACTGGCATCTTTGATATTCTTGTGGTTCTGGTAATTGTTTACGAACCTTGAAATCCTTGAGAACCCTTATATCGTGGGATTCTTGTCATTCGTCCACTTTTGCAATCATTGACAGTTTGTCATTCGAACCTTTAAAACCATTGATACTCTTGAGACTAATAAGATACTTGAGGGTCTCCAACATTGGTTAGATTTCTGGTAAAGTCCTTGTGGTCTCTGGGATTTTTCACAATCTCCAAACCCCTTTCTTCATTGGCTGATTTATCTTAACGGAATAGCTTTAAATAACCAGATTTAGCATTCTCTTCTTTGGTGTTCCAACGTGTGCAGTTTAGTCCTGTTGTAGCCCGTTAAGAAAGTGGACGAAACGTTGATTTTTCGTTAAACATTGATACGGTCCTATCGTGGAAGCCGCTCGCAAGGAAATTTTTTTATTGTGATTCTTGATATAGCTTGGAGGCAACATTACAATTCCCGAAGTCACTGAGATCCTTGAGATCTTTGGATATTTCATATCCTTGAATTCTTTTAAATCGTTTTAAGAAAACTAAGCCTCTCTAAAGCCCTTTAAAAATTAAAATCATAAGATCATTGAATTTATTGAGACCGACCATAACATTTACTTTGACCATAGATCATATAATGACCATTGAGAATGACCATTAAGGTTTTGGTAGGTGTCCTCAAAATTCCTTAGAATGGGGTTGCCACGATATTCGTATTTCAGGCTCCTGAGTGCTTGAGCCAATAGCCTCCGGAATCAGGAAAGTTTTAATCGTAATGATCACAATGATCTCAATGTTGAAGGACCAAAAAAATGTGATTTGTGACACATTGCTGTTGTATTCCATTCGGAATTACGTAAATAGTGCAACGAGGGACATATATTGTCTCATTTCAAACGTAAATCCCCTTACACGTAATTATTCATAATTTCGTCAAACTTCGGCACCAAATTACTTTCTTTATTTAGATTGATTTCTACAAAATTACGTTGTGCCAACCCCCATGATCGTCAATTTGTGCGTCTTCAAAGTGAAGCCATATAGACCGTAATTCCTTAGGCGGTAGGTTATTGAAAGAAAAATCTCAAAGTATTTAGTGAAGCAAACAATGATAATAAGATGGTTGTCGCGATGAGGGTGGCAGTCGTTCGAAGGTTTCGACCGATATTCACTTGTAAATTTTATTCCGCAGGGACGGTTATTAATTTAATTCTGTGGACCTTTCAATATAATAGAAATTGATCTGTTTCGCTAAGATACTGCGTGAATTCGTTAGACGATAACGAAAAACAAGCTTGATTTTGTTTAAAATTGAAAGTAAACGTAATGATATTTATTAAGGGCCCTTGAAAGAAAAGGCTCATGTAAATAATGGACGATCTGATTTCGAATCTTTCCGGTATGTTTATTTCCGATTTTGAGTCGTCAAATTTTAGGTAGGTACTGCAAAAAAATTCAAGGACTCAGGATTTCAATTATCTAGGTAGTTGCAATGGTTTCTCAATGATCTTAAATATAGTAAAAGTATTACCTATGGCAATCATTTCAAAGACTTCAATAGTCTCAATAATTACAATGATGTTAATAATCACAATGACATCCAGGATCTCAATCGTCTCAAGCATACATTTTTGGGGATAAGAGGAGCAGCTCCCATTTTTTTTTGGTTTGTTGTTTTTGTAATCTCGTTAGGTATTTCCCTTTTAAAACACAAGGGGGCACTGTAACGGGAACCAGCTTTGCATGTTATATGAGTAAAATTGAATGTATACCATTTTGTACGTATAGTAGATGCGGGTCAAGTTAAAAATAAAAATAAACCTCCACCTCAATTTCGGGGGGTTCCGTGGTTGTTCGGGGCAGAAATGCAGTGTGAATGATAGATGCTGGTCTACTATTGGTTTAAAAGAGACACCGACCGGGGCAGTTTCGTTGGTTCCGTTTTGGCCTAATATAAATAGCGAAACGCACAGTGAGCATCCGCGCGTTAATAATTGTAAAAGCAGAACTAGCTGAAAAAGTTAATGAACACGGTTAAGGTGTAAAGTATCGGCGAGATACATTTATTAAAGTATACGTTAAGTATTCCGGAGAGCGTCTATTGCGTATTTAAAACTGTCGATACCGAGTTACGATAATTTATATTAATTGAAATACGTGCTTACCATGAGAACGATTTCGTGCCTTCTCAGAACACGTTTCAGAAATCATCAAAAATATACATGATACGATTTAAACGCGAATGGAAAGTTAAAAATTTCCGGAAGATCGAAATGCCTCAAAAGAGTCAAGATTAGGAGAATTCAGGGGGTCCAGATGGCCCAGATAATTCAAGAGTTTGAAGCTTCGGAAGGTTTAAAAGGATTTAAGGCCTATAAGATGCAACAAGCTTACAAGATTTGAAAGATGCAGAAGGGGAAGGTGATTGATTGGGTTGCGAAGAATAATCTGAGGCATAAGACCAAAAAAAACAACAAAAAGGCTAATAGCACAAGAAGATTGTGAAGACGACTCACAATGATAATAAAGCATTGAAGACGCAAAGGAATTAGAATGACTAATGGAGTGAAAAAAGCACTAAGACTCACTGCCCATTTGAGTCAGAGTACATCCGCTCGGAAGGCACAATGCTTCAGAATGTCCAAGAGATCTAGACACCCAGGAGAATTCAGAGGAGGCCGAGAAGATCTAGAAGATGCAAAAGATTCAGTGGTTCTAGGAGTACCCCAGAAAACCATTCTGACGAGAACGTGAGAAGGTCCCAACGTTTAGGAGACCAGATTGACGCAAAGGATCTAGGAAACCCAAACGCTCAAGATGATTAAAATGCTAAACAGAATCAGAATATCCAGAATCCGCAGGAGGTTCAGAGGATCCATAAGGACAAGAACGTGCTGAAGATTTATAACTGTTAAAATGTTGGTGATGTTATGTGAGCGAGTGGTCATGAGTCACGGTACTGGCTTTTTAAATGCGAGCGAAAGCTGGGGGCGCCTGGAAGTCGTGGGATATTGCGTGGGAGCTTTAGGTTGCAGGAGGTTTTTTAGAGTCGTCGCTACCGAGGTTGCTACGTAACGTGGGTTTTGTATAGTCAACGGAGTTACCAAGTGTTCTGATTCGTCGGAAAAACTAGTTTTATTGGTGGTCAGGCTATGCAACACACGAGCGAAGCCATCCATCTGTAATTTATCGTGGGCGTGTTTGAATTCAGGTGATTCATAGTGCTCAAAGGGTTCATGGAATTCAGGAGATTTCAAAGGATCCGGAAGCTTCAAGTAAATGTAGATTTTGTTAAATTAACGCGTGAGCTAGAAAATTAAAGTTTCAAATGCCGGTGACGTCCTCGGTGCTGCAGAGAATTCCCGAAGAGTTAGATGATCGATTATTCTAAGCTACCGAGTGTATCTAGAAAGTTAGAAAGTTGGGAAATTCAGTGGAACCGAGAGTATTGGAAAAACCGTGAGAAACGGAAAGAACTAAAAATTGAGGTTATCATTCGGATTGGTAAGATCGAGAAGGTCAGGGACAGGTTGTCCATCCTCCTATCGTAATCCAGACTGGCCTAAGGTTTGCTTATTTGGAAATCTGGATGTTCCTTTAAATTACTCAAGGAAATACGGAATCGAAATAGTGAGAATGCCAAATAGGGCAAAATAAATTTCCTTCAAAAATAAGGCAATCAACTAGAATTCTGGACGTGGAGTCTTGCTTTCTCAAGAATATTTTGAAAGGCACTACGAAACTGTAGTTGAATTCCAATACTTTCCAAAACCTTTGAAAATATGGATATTTCCTAAAATCTTCAGAAACCTTCCAGAATTTTGAGAAAATTTCGAGAAGTATCCATAACGTCTAGACATTTCCACTTACTTTTCTAAGCCCAGAATTTTAACTGCGGAAAAATGTCCTAAGTCGCTCAGTGGTTTTAGGCTTTCGACTACTTTCAAAAATAGAATTTGACAAAATCCTGTCCCAAAAATGTTCACAAATCACTTACTTCTACGGGTTCATAAACCTTCCTTCAGGATCATTAAAGCTTTCTGACACACCACGACGTAGTCGCTGAACTCTAGTACCTTCCAAGACCTTTGAAAATAATCTCAAAAATTTCAGTACCAAGACAGAAAATGAAAATGTCCAACAGCCTTGAATATTCTGTGCCCAAATGCTCAAGCCTTTTTGAATTCATTGTTTGTACCGCTATTTATAGTCACTCAATATTTGGAAGTACTACACGTGTTGTTTTATCAAGACAAGTTGTTTGTATATCGATAACAGTTAACAATACATTATTCTTTTATTATCTTAACCAAATGTAAATAAAAATGTTTGCACCTGTTACTTCACTACAGAAATGGCGATGAATGCAATAGTTCTTTTTCTAGTTTGGACATTTGTCGCAGGTAAGCACCCACTAATAGTACGTATATATTGCACAGTCTAGCATTTTTATCCCTTCTCTAAATCCCATTTTTTTTAGTAGCCCCTTCACTTACACTTTCCTTTCTCAACTACTCTTTGGTTCCCCTGGTCTCTCTCATCTCTCCTCTGTTACGCTATCATTTCTTATTTCTTCTATTTTCCTTGTAACAACCTGTGTGTGTACTGTTCCTCTTTATCACCCTCTGCGCTTTATTCTCCATCTACCTTATTCCCTGTCCCAGAGCTCAACTCTCCTACAAATATGATCTCGCCCTTTTCTTTCTCTACTCTTTCATATCATCTACGTCCTTTTTTAGTTTCATACCTTCCCCTCTCCATTTCAATTCATGGCGAATCGGTTTTTCCACTGAGCTCTTTCGACGTCCCATTCCTTAATTTTCCCAGTTCTTCTCTTCTACCCTAATTTCCACCAATTCCAAAGACTTTACAACATTGCTTTCCTTTACTACATTCCCCATTTACGTCCTTCTCTCTTTTCCCTTTACCAAATCCCTCTCTAGTTTCTTTTTCTATTATGTTATCCCTCAAAACCGACTACTCAATCCATATACCCATATTTTCATACAGTATCATTGTCCACATTTTTTTGTTTTTTTTTTCACCACATTCTCAATCCTTCGTTCTTTCAAAGTGACTATATTTTCCTTTTATTTTTTCGTACGTAAGTCTTTTTCAGACATGTCTGGCTCTACTTTTTATTGCTTCTTTTCCTCGTTGCCCTCTCCCATATTCCTCATATTTCTCCTTATGGTTTTGGTGTCCAGTTTTTCCTTTTCCACTTCCCGCACATTCTGCTTCGTTTTTTCTATTTCTACTTTCGTAAGTTTTACGTAAAACTCCATTTCTCTCAACAGGCTCTCCCAGTGACTGGAGGACTACGCTCTATACCAGGGCGTATGAAAATGGAACAACGGATATGGGTCAGGCGAGCCCATCCAGGTCGACGGTTGTAATGGTCCACGGATGGGAGCAATCCGCCAACAGCGTATGGGTAATTCTGGCGAAAACCACGCACCTCTCCACTGCGGACAAGAACATCATCACGTTAGACTGGTCGAAGGACGCCAAGGCATTGGGCTACGGTCACGCGGTAAATTCCGTGCCGCTGGTGGGCGCCCACCTGGCGCAGCGGATCCACCAATGGATAGTCTTAAACCTGATCAACGTAACTACGACCAGATTCGTCGGTTTCTCGTTGGGGGCGCAGGTTATTGGCTTTTGCGGCCGCTCCACTTTTCGACGGCAGACCGATCGCTCAACGTCTAGATAAAACCGACGGGGATATGGTGCAAGTGTTCCACACGAGCACGACTGGAATGGCTGCCCGATGCGGTCGCGTGGATGTTTATTTCAGCTCCTCCATTAATAAAAATTGCGCAGTTGATCAGCCAGGATGTCCTGATGATTCCGGTTTGCCCGTTGATAATGTGTCTCTTCAAAGGAGTAAGTGCATCCATTATAGGTAGGTGGGTTAAGCAGGGGCCTCTTTTAGCATTTTGCAACCACGTGCGTGCGGTACCTTATTACATTATCAGCATAACGTCTTTGAATTTCCTGGCGGCTCCATGTGCTAGCTGCGATCAGTTTAAACGAAACGGTTGCAACACTTCCTCGCCAATTGTGGTGGGGGACCGACTCGATCCCACGACAGAAGATGGGGCGTACTACTTAAAGACTTCCAGCCAGCGACCGTTTGCAAATGGTACCGCTGGTTTACAAATGTAGATGAAAAAAAATACAACACTTTATCTTCTTTAAGTAGACTATATTCGATTTGAGTTTTGGATTATTTTATTTTATTTACATTTATTTTGCCTTTATTTTTGAGTGGGCCCGGTTTCAGCCAAGGCTGCTCTACCAACCCAACCCACTATACATTTACAACAATCCATGCTCGAATCCGGATTCGAACCAGGGACCCTTAGCACCACAGTCCAACTTTAACTGATCTGCGCCACACGGGCCGGCTCTTAAATGGTAGTTTTTTTTAGATTACCAGGGTCTCATAGTCTGTGGGCCTAAAATCTCCAGAAAAGATGGCTGTTCAATATTCACGACAATCAACGTAAAAGTTCACCCGGAATTTGCAGCCTGCACTATGCGAAATACACTCAATGGGGTTTTGACTTTCTTTTCGACTTTCTAATTTCAGGGCCGGATTTACAGCGTGCCCCAAGAACAAGTTAGGGATGGGGCCCCTATTTCTACACGGAGCTTTACAAGAGTTTTAGTCAACGTTATTTCAAGAGTACCTAACATATACTAAACCTTTGGTTCTTTGGTCGCGCTGGATTCTTTGGATTTATATCTTGGGTCTTCTTGTCTTTGTTCCTCGATTTAAATTCTTAATTGCTGATTTTTGATCTTAGAACCCTGTGCGTTAAATCTTTTTTCCCCCTTCTCTTTTCCTCTACTTCTTTTTTTAGAGTGCTAGTCTTCTCGGACCTTTCATCCCTTTGATCTTCTGGGACATTTCGATCTTAATGATTGTTTTTTTTACCTTTTCTCCTTTCCTGTCTTCCTCGCCACTTTCGTTTCTGGAACGATGTATTCTTCATTTTCCTTTTATTCGTGATCATCGACCTCCCTTAACACTTAGCCTTTGATTTTTCATGCTTACTTCTTGGCGCGTATTGCTTGTTACTTCGTTCATCCTTGGTACGTGATCGGAGTCCATGATTATTAATTCTCGACTATCATTCATCCCTGATAATAGATCTTTCATCTTTTATCCAACTCCTTACTCTCTGATGTTCTATCCTTGGTCTTCAGTCCTAGTTCCTAGATTTTCACCCTGTCTGTTTCGGTTGAATGGTTTGGTTGCCAGTTATCTTCTCTCTTTATGTTGTTTGTTCACTTTTTCGATCTTTTCTTATACATTATAGGGTTTCTGGCCTTCGCAATCTGTTCTGTTTTTAAAGCCCTTTGGTCTGTTCGGCTGTTTGGGTAGTATTTTTAGTCTTTTCGTCTTATGTGATTAATTTGTTTCATCTTCTCAATCTCGTTGGTCTTTTTTCGTTTCTTCCGTCTCCTCCTCCTATCATCAACTTCTCGTCCCTTCTCTCTCGAACTTTTCACCACAATCGTCTCCTTGATTTCTATCATTTTGTATCATGAATTTCTCCTTGTGGCACTTAATTTTTCACCATTGGCTCTTTGTTAATCCTTGATTTTCTGCTATTGGCCCTTGGTTCTTGACGAAAATTCCAAATTCCACGTTTCTAGACTCTCGCCGTATTCTGGTTTCGATTTTCAACTTTCGGACGTTTTCGTTTAGGTCATTTTTCCATTCTTTATCTTTTTGTTCTTTGCTTTTTTGCCGTTTTTTTGAACGTTTTTGGAAATTTTTGAGCGTTTCAGTCTGTCTTCAGTCCATCCATACTTTTTGATCCCTTCAGTATTTTTGATCCTTTAGCATCTCAAGTATTTTGTTTACTTGTCTGTTCTTTTTGGTGCTTTTGATGTTTGTTAAATCTTTATTTGACTTTTCCGGCTTCCCGCCTTTCTTTATTATGACATCTTTATTGTCACTGACTCCGGATTTTAATTTTTCGTATCTTTAGGGGTTTTGTTCTCATTGCTGTAGCTGGTCTTTTCAGCTACTTTTTAATTTTTTCCGTTCCTTCTATCCCTCTGTACCTGGCACGTATTCGTCTCGTTTATTTTGTCTCTTTTACATTTTTCGTCCTTTCATCTGGATCATTGATTTCTATTCTTTTATCCTTGTATGGCTTCCTTACTCCCACCCTCAGCCTTTGATTTTTGCTCCTTGTTGCATGGTACTTCATTCTTGTTTCTTGATCATTGGTATTGGATCCCTTACAATGGTCCCTGATAATTGCTTGTTTTGTTATTAATAATTAATAAGAAAACAATAATTATTATTATTGATTCTTACAATATATTTTTGATCATTGATCATTCCTAACTCTTTGATCTTATGGTGTTCGCTCTTAGGCTTTGATTAGAATTTCAATTCTTGTTTCTCTGTTATCGGATTTCATTTGAATTTTCATTTTTAGTCCTTCTGAGTTTTGGTTTTTGTTTTTCGTGCTTTTATAAAATTTGTCTCACTGACGTCACTGGTCCTTTTAGTCCTGCTAGGTAGTCGACCTTACAACTTTCCGTTCCCACAGTTCTTTCCTTCCCATTCGTTGCTACCATTCCATCCATTTCTTCCACCTCTCTCTCATCTCCTTTGTACCATTCGTGGTTCGATTGATCTCCTTTGCCTCATCCATTTCTTTTGCTAATTTCGCTTCTCCCGTCTTATAAATTTCCTCGTTCCTTTAATATCTTTGGCTACTCCGTCTCCATCACGTTTCTTTCGCCTGTTACATCCGGATCTTTGATTTCGATTTTCTGTTTCCTTTCGGCACTGTTACTTTTAGCATCTTCTTATTCCCACTCCGAACACTTTGATTTTTTTGACTGATTGAGAAGATGCAAAAGATCCGGAAGGTAGATTCATCCCAAGGATCTAGTAGTCCCAGAAATCCAGACTACTCGGAGAATTCAGATAATCGAGAACGTGAGAGGGTCCAAAAATTCGGAAAACCTAAAACACGCAAAAGATCTAGAAAATCCTGACGATTAAAATACTCAACAGAATCTGAATAGTCAGAAGCCGCAGCAGGTTCATTGGATCCATAAGAACAAGAAAGTCCTGAAGCTTCACGCCGGTCAAAAGGTCCAGAACGCTTGCAAGATTTAAAATGCAATGTAGTCGGAAGATTCAAATTGGATTTAAAGCACTCGGGGCGCAAATGGTTCATAGAATCCAAGAGGGTCCAAAGGATTCGAGGGCGTCAAAGCATTATAAAGGTAGATTTCGTTCAACGAACCCGTGACCTAAAGAAGCTAGAAGATTTAAAAGCTTGAAATTACTCAAAAGGTTTAAAACAGCAAGAACTACAAGGATCTATTGCATCAAACGACCCAGACAAGTTTATAATTGACGTCTCAGGTTAGTCCAGAAGATGCAGAAAAACTGGAAACATCTGGAAATCAAACGATCGTGTTCACTCAGAAAAACAGAGAAACACAGAAAAGCCCAAGGACTTCACAGACCAGAGAATGTCAAAAAATTCAAAATCGAGAGGAGGTCGAGTACTCTTAGCTAGGAAATATCGAGTGTATTTACCAACTTGGAAGATTCGGTGGAATCGATAGTACTGGCAAAATTGGGAGGAACGGAAACAACCGAAAATCAGGGGCTGGAAAATAAGAATGTTGGCCAGATTGATAAGACTTACAAGACTAAAGATCTTGAATATTCAGAAAATACGAAAAGGTGGCTCCGGAACTACTCGGCTCTGTGACTACTCGGTTCCGAGACTGTTCGGCTCTAGTATTACTCGGCACAGGAATCATTGGGCTCTGAAAAAACCCCGAGTTTGACAGTTCGTATGGATTCTTTATGGACATAACAAATTGTTTTATCACCAAAGAGGAATTCATATTTTTCATCTTAGTACCCAATACATGCGGGGATGCATACAGAGTAAAGCGGGAGGAATGGACTTAACTGCAAGGGGGGTAATCTATGAACCTATGCGCCCCGGAGCCGAGTTATCCCAGAGCAGAGTAGTTCTGAAGCCGAGTAACGGCAGAGCAGAGCCGGTTTGTCTGACAGTTGAGTGGTTCTAGCGCCAAGTCGTCGCAGTCGCGAGTAGTCCTGGAGTTGAGTTATACAGGAGCCGAGGGCGGATGACGACCCAACCGCCGACAAAGAAAAGCAGACCACAGCCTCAACCAAAGGTGGGTGTCAGTAAGGCGCAATCGTAACTATAAGCAAGCTTCCGGAAGGCAACTTTCTAAGATTCTGAGAATATCCTGATAGAACAACCATTCGTTTGAGTGGATGGAGGAAGGTGGTGTCCCACAAGTGTTGGAGGCTGCCCTAAGAACCATGGGGGTTTCTGGTCTTGGGCGTACTAAAAGAGCCGTTTTCTTGGATACACGACGAGAGTAACCACAAGAACATGTATCTATGTCCCAAGCCATTTTAAGCCTCTTCTACGGCCACCTCATGTGTGGCCGTGATATCACGACTATATACAGTTAAGTTGTGACAATCTACCTCCCAGTAATGAGATGGTAGAAGTGATAGAAATTCAAATGAAGTTCTGCAAGAGACCCGTCCGAAAGGGCTATCGCAACCCCAAGGGGAAGAGCACCTTCTTGGGGAACGCCTCTCGAGCCCTGTTGCCATACAGGGCAAAGTAGATCTTCTCTCAAACTCCATTGTGGAGTCATTCGAATAGGCCT